CCCGCTCCTGATCTCAGCCACTAAGCACTTGCCTACACAGCCTCTTCAGATGGGAGGCTCAGTCCACTCACTGCCCCATCTCTCTCCCACTTCGTGGACACAGGAACCTGACCAGCCTACTCTGAAATGTCTCTGGAATCCGTTCGTTCCTCCAGCCAGTATCCTAGTTCTCATTTCTCACTGGGGCTATTTCAACCACACCTTACTGGCTTTTTGCTGCATCCGTAATTCCCTTCCATTCAGGCTGTAGACTGTGACCAGGGTAACCTTTCTAAAACATGGTTCAGGCCACCTCCATGGCCTGCACTGAAACTTTAATGGCTCCAGAGTTTTGCAAATGGTTGTGTTTGCCAAACCATGGCCCAGGATCTATCTGCATCAGAATCCCCTGGGTTATGAAAAGTCAGATTCCAAGGCCCCAGCCCAGGCTTCTTGAAATTGTGGGCCCCTGGGATTTGCATTTTAAATAAGGAATTCTATGTAATTTTTAGGCACTGATGTTGGATAAGTATAACCTATAAAATAAGTCTGATATTTAAAGAAGCATCATACCCAGGCCTTCACACTTCATTCCAATTGTTTATTTGGACTGAAATATTGTTGTTTGGTATATAAAGCCATACCTCCACACAGGGCCCACCAGGTTCCACAAACTCCAACATTCTGTGCCTCCTGCCTCCACACCTCTGCCCATCTGTTCTTTTCTTAAAATGCCTTTCTTTCTCTTCCTCAGCTAACAAACTCCTATTGATCCTTCAAGGCCCATCCCTCTGAAGCCTTCCTTGAAATCCTGGTGCGTGCTTGCTCTGATGTGATCACAGTCTCCTTTATTCCATTTCCCATACTGAATTAGTTTCAGTTCTGCCTGCCTCCCTGCCAAACTGTGCAAAGGTTGTGTCTTGTTTATTTCTGCATCTTTGACTCTTAGTACAGTAACTGAAACCTACATGTTGGTTGGAAAATGAAAAGATCATCTATCTTCAGAGAGTGGATTTGGTTAAGTGGGTTTGATTGTAATAGAAAAATGCAATCTGGTCTTCTGGGTTGAAACATCTTTCCTAACTGATTTTTATGAGTACACGAGAGCTCTCTTGGACGCAATGAGAAACTAAAAGCTGAATGATGCTGTGGTCTATGAGAAATTCCAGCCTGCTCACCTGAGTCAGAAAGATTGTTCTTGTCCTTTTTCTTAGACATTTTGATTAGGTCCTGATTTTACATTTCTAGTCTTTAATTTTGGTTTGTGAAGTTCTTTTGGTTCTAGACCTGCACCATCCAATATTAAGGCCACTGGCCACGTGTGGCCGGTGTATATGTGAAATGTGGCTGGTCTGAAGCAAGATGTTCCATGAGAGTAAAATACACACTGGGTTCTGAAGACTTAATGTGAAAAAAGAAACTGAAGTAGCTCATTAATAATTATGAATCAATTACATGTTGAAATGAAATTTTGAACACACTGGGTTAAATAAAATATTGAAATTCATTTCACTTGTTTCTCCTTATACTTTATGGCTTCCAGAAAACCTTAAATTACGCATATGGCTCACATTGCATTTCTCTTGGGCAATGCTGATCGAGACCCTTCCTCCCTCTGCCATTGTTTTGTGTTTCAGGTTATTCTGTTTGTTTCTTCTCTCCCTGCTGAAACACTATTACCACCATCACCACCAAAGCACCCAGCTCTGAAGTGCACACCATCCAACCATCTCACTCACCACCCTCCTTACTCTGACCGTCCACAGACCCCCGGGCCCTCTCTGAAATTCCTTGAAGGTTTAACGCCTGGCTCACAGCCAGTTTTTTCTGGTGACGTCCTGTATTCCAGCCCCATTTCCCAGTGATTTCAATGTCTATGTAGACAATGCTTCCAACACCCTGGCTGCAGGCTTGATCTCATGTCAGAAGATATCGTCCTCCCCTCTCCTCTAGCTGCTCACTCCCGTGGTCCTGGGCTACATTTACCAATACCAATAACCACATTTATGAATACCAGTAATCAATACCCAAACCACGCCAGGCTTGGCTTTGGGCATCCCACTCTTCGACCCCTGCCTCCTATTTTCCAGTTCTCTACCTCCAGGACTCGGACCTCAGCAGTTAGCTCTCTGACACCGATGGGATCTACGATCAAGGGCTCCTATGTCCTGTTCACCAACTGTCATCTCTCTCCTGGCCTCAACTCTCTCCTAATCTTGTTGAATTCCATAGTCTCTGTGCTTCAGTTCCTTTGGTCTCCAGTTTCCTTTGCACCAGCCCAGTAGAACCCCAATCCCGGTTAAATCCAACTCGCCTCTTTCTGCACATTCACACCTGGATAGCTGAGCCATAAATGGAGAAAAACACAGGCCGTGCTGATCGTCTCACTCTAGATTCCTGAGCCCCAGTCCAGCCAGGCCCTGAGGTTTGCCCAGAAATCTTGCTCTTTGTACATTAACCCAGTCTTTCCGCCTTTCACTTTATTACATCTTGTCCTCTCTCCTTAAACCTCCTCACTCTTAGCAGATGAACTTGCTCCTGACTTTGCTGAAAACAGAGATAGTGTACATCCAGAAGAGAACTTCTTGCAACTGCTAAGACCCCCTCTTCACTCTACCTAGCTGTCTACTTTAAGCCGCACACTCGGCCTTCCCTCCTGCTCTCATGAATAAATTATGCTCCCAGCCTCCCAGTTTCTTTTGCTTCCTTCTCCTCATCCCCCAACCCCTAAGCTTTGAAGTGCCCCAAGCCTCAGTCCTTGGACCTCTTCTCCTTTTTAATGACCCAGGTTTCATAGGCAATCTCATCTAGCCTCATAATTTTATACCTCACCTGTTCTCGCTACACCTGCCCCAACCCCAGCTCCCAACATGCCCCAAGACAGCTCCATGTGGCAGTTGCATGATTCCCCAGCTCCATATGACCCCTCCCAACCTGCTCCCCCTGCGCATTGTCCAGACAACAAATGGCTAAAAGCCATTCTCTTTTCCTACAATAACTCCTGCCTCACCTGCAACTCAGATTGCATCTAGAACCTAACCACATCTCACTGCCTCCACAATTACACTCTGGTCCTCGCCATGGTCCAGGCTTTTCTTTTCTCTGTGGCGACTTATTCTGATGGAACATGTATTGGTTTGTTGCTGTTGTTATCGGGTATTGACTGCCTCCCACCAAAATGTTAACTCCAAGAGGCTGGTGCTTTGCCTGTTTCATTCACTGCTGTAGCCCCATTCCTGGAGCAGTGCCTGACCTGAAGTTGGCATTGAATAAATCTTTGATGGACAAACTTGGGGAACACGGCTGTCTCACACCTACAAACTTTTAACAAAGCCCAGTCTGCACAGCAGTGCCATGGGATTGGAATTCTGGGCCTTGTGTTGGGCTCCTGAGAGTTTTGGAGTCTCTCCCTCTATGGTCTGATTATGAAACGAAAAGAGAATCTGCTCCAGGAAAAATAATTTCCAGCATCTCAGCAGAGCAACTGAGGGGAGTGATGGTAAAGAGAGGGGAGCCAGCTCTGTGGGCTCCAGGATCTCATCACCTGGAATGGGACCACCACCCCGCACCTGCTCACAAAATAGCACATCTCGGTTCTGTTCTGCCTCCGGTGAGGTCATGAGGAAAGGCGGCGGTCTATGAACTAACTTTCTTTTTATTTCTTTATTTCTGGCTGTGCTGAGTCCTTACTGCTGTCTGGGCTTTCCTCTAGTTGCAGCGATCGGGGGCTGCTCTCTTGGTTGCTGTGTGCTGACTTCTTATTGCAGTGGCTTCTCTTGTTGCAGAGCCTGGGTTTAAGGGCAGGTGGGCTCTGGAGCACGGGTCAGTAGTTGGGGCACACAGGCTCAGTTGCCCCATAGCATGTGAGATCTTCCCAGATCCGAGATTGAACCGGTGGTCCTTGCATTGCAAGGCAGAGTGTTTACCACTGAGCCACCTGGGGAGCCCCTACCAATTAACTTTCTAAAAGTCGATTATTTTGCACATATAGGGCCCTGGTCTGCAAGGACAGAAAGCAGAGAACAATATTTTACCACCACCATCCAAAATAAAAAGCCAAGGACTCCATGAATAGAAGCAAAGAAGATGATCTCTGTGGGCACCTGCCTTTTCTGTTCCCCAGCAGCGGAAGTGGCTTATGTATATTTGTCACATAACAGGAAAGGGGGGGGGGATGTGCATACATTTATTTAGCAGTTCCTGAAGTGTGAGGGAAAATTGCTGATAATTGGTGTTTTGCAGTCTCAGATATTTAGCATTTTATTGGGCTTGGGTCAGTGCTTTGTTTACTATCTATCGGTAGTGTTTTCCGGCGTGGTCTGGCCCATGGAGCTCGGGGATGCGAATACATCTTGTTGAAATGCACCATCTGTTCCCCAGGGATGGTTTGCATTGCACACCTGGTCTGAGTAGGTGCACAGCTTCGTCACAGATGCTGAGACTATAGAAAACACATACCTTCTAGCTGGTCACACTTCTGAACATACTGGCGCCCTACTGAACCTATTTTTCCCTACTTGTCCCCTCTCAATCACCCATCATTTATGGCACTTCGTGCATTAAAAAGTGACAGCAACAGTGTTGCCCAAACATGTACTTTGTCATCAAATTTTAACGTGGTTAACTTGGTCTCTCAGGCCAGGAGATGAAGGAACAGAAGATGAGATGATTTTCAAAACGCCATTCAGAAAGCTTGGGCCAGAACAGAAACGGACACCAGAAATCTGATCCTCTTGCTCTGATGGACACCCTTTGGTGCTGAACCACAAGCAAATAACAGTACAGAACCAAAGGCTACTGGGGGGTTCCAAAAGGCCATTAGATCAGTTCTCTCTTGGTGAAATGCCTCATTTTTATCTTCATTGGGAAGAGCACTGTACAGTCTAGTAGACGTATTCTCCTGTATGACATGAAGGTTACAAGCCATAGCTGAAATCTTTTACTGCAATTCATCAACCTTGATTTTCTTTCTAAACTTATTTACAGAAAACTACCTGAAGAACCCAGACTGAGGCCCCCTCATGGATGAGGCAAACGGGACATCATTTGTTGCTGAGGAGTCCTCCAACGCCTCAACCAGCGGGAACACCTCCGTCAGGGACCTGCGCCGGGAAATTCCCATTGTGCACTGGGTGATCATGAGCATCTCCCCGCTGGGCTTTGTTGAGAATGGAATCCTCCTCTGGTTCCTCTGCTTCCAGATGAGAAGAAATCCCTTCACCGTCTACATCACCCACTTGTCCATCGCGGACATCTCGTTGCTCTTTTGCATCTTTATTCTGTCTGTCGACTACGCTTTAGATTACGAGCTGTCTTCTGGCTATTACTACACAATTGTCACGTTGTCGGTGACGTTTCTCTTTGGCTACAACACGGGCCTGTACCTGCTGACAGCCATCAGTGTGGAGAGGTGCCTGTCTGTCCTATATCCCATCTGGTACCGGTGCCACCGCCCCAAGCACCAGTCAGCGTTCGTCTGCGCCCTCCTGTGGGCACTCTCCTGCTTGGTGACCACCATGGAATATGTCATGTGCATTGACAATGAGGGACAGACCCACTCCCGGAGTGACTGCAGGGCCGTGATCATCTTCATAGCCGTTCTGAGCTTCCTGGTCTTTACTCCCCTCATGGTGGTGTCCAGCACCATCTTGGTGGTGAAGATCCGGAAGAACTCGTGGGCGTCCCACTCCTCAAAGCTGTACCTGGTCATCACGGTCACCGTCATCATCTTCTTCATCTTCGCCATGCCCATGAGGCTCCTGTACCTGCTCTATTACGAGTACTGGTCGACGTTCAGGAACTTGCACCATGTTTCTCTTCTCTTCTCTACCATCAATAGCAGCGCCAACCCTTTTATTTACTTCTTCGTGGGCAGCAGCAGGAAGAAGCGGTTCAAGGAGTCCTTGAAAGTGGTTCTGACCAGGGCTTTCAAAGATGAGATGCAACCCAGGCATCCTGAAGACCACACGGCCACCGCGGCAACTGAGACTGTTGTCTGACCGGTGGAAGGAGATTGTGGACCAAACAGTGGGACGAAGATGAGCCGCAGTTTGTACTTGGGAATGCAACTGAATACCCCCTAAATATGATACAGAAGGACACCCTACCCCACATGCATGAGATGCGAGTTAATGCTGAGATTGTACTCTTGTGCTGCTGTACCTTCTGGAAATGCCTGAATACGTGTCGAAACTTCATTCTTTCTGTAACTTCCAAAAAATTCCTTCTGTTCCTCTTTAGCTCTCCTGGAAGCATTTCCCCATGAACTATAAAGATTATTCCAGCAGGAAGGTTTACAGGTGTGTACAGGCAAAGGCACAAGTACTTGACGAACCTTGAAAAAGTAAAGCCATATCGTAGGAAGAACATGAGTTTTGGAATCAGACTGACTCTGTCATTTGTCGCTGGTTTGACCTCAGTTTTAACCCCCAGGGACCTCATTTCCTCAGTATAAAATGGTAACAGTAGTAGTCCATACCTCCCGGGCCTGTGGTGAAGGTGACACCGGAAGACAAGGTGTGCAAAGGGTCTGGTACACGTCAGTGTTGAGAAACATCTGTGTCTGTGACTCTTTGAAGTGGAAGAAGAAATACACATTTCTGTTTTGTAAAGCGCACACACTCCACACACACAGCTCTGTCATGTGCAAATAATTGTTACATGTTTTTAAATGATGAATGTAATTTACAAAGGTCTTCTGTCTGTTTGCTGCAGGAGAACTCTTTGTGGGATACCACCATCTGAGATGTTAGGACCCCCAACCGCCGTGTGCTGGGGCATCATTTCGGGTTGGGAGGGAAAGCATTTGGCCACCCTCCTTGCGGCTTCCCTTCCCTCTCTGGGAATGCCTCGTGTAATGAAAGTCTGTTTTGAAATCCTTTGCTTGATATAAATGTTCATGAATGAAATCATGAGGGTGATTGTGTTTTTGGAACCCCCCCCCCCTTTCATGAAGAGGGTTATGTATTTATAGTCACAAAGTTCCCACTGGCACGACAGGCCAATAAATCGGGAGATGACTTGTTGGAACAAGGAATGACTTTAATGGGAAAGCTAGCAGACTGAGAAGATGGCAAACTAGCATCTCAAAAAACCCATCTTCCCTCACTGGGTTCCTTTTACTTGCAAGAGGGAGAGGGGAGGGGCCCACTGCGGCCCCAGCTGGCACCTGGGCCGCTTGTTCTCCTGCCTCGGTGCCATTGCGTCCTGCTCATCTCCTTGCCTCGCTCTGGAAGGAGGCTCCGCAGCAGGGCTGAGGAGAGCGTGGCCGCATCTCAGAGGGAAACAGGACGTTTCTCGCAAGACAGACCTCAGCAGGATTTCCCTGCATCTCAGTGCCCTGCGGCTCGCCTGCTTGGACCTGTGTCTGTACCTTCAGGCAGTGAGTCCTGGGACCCCCCATCCCAGCCTGGAGACTATGTTTGGTTTCCTGCTGTCCCTTCTGGGCGTCCCATGAAAAATGGCAACATTCCACGTGGCTCTGTGGGGAGTAAAATGTTCACAGCCATAAATGAGCCCATTACTATTTATGGGCTTCCCAGGTGGCTCAGTGGTAAAGAGTCTGCCTGCCACTGTGGGAGTTGTGGGTTCAGTCCCTGGGTTGGGAAGATCCCCTGGAGAAGGAAATGGCAGCCTACTCCAGTATTCTTGCCTGGGAAATCCCTTGGACAGAGGAGACTGGTAGGCTACAGTCACAAAAGAGTCAGACACAACTGAACAAGTATTTCTGTAACTGTTGGGCTCCAAAGGGTCAAAGAAGCTGTGATAACCTGGCTCTCAGTTGCCACCTGTTTCTGCCCCATCCCCTTTCTTCAGCAGGAAATGGTCACCTGTAAGCCAGCCTCGCTGGGAGAGATGGATGAGGCTTTCCCACCCGGCCCAGCTTGGAGGCGGGAGGCTTTTCAGTGGGTGATGACATCTGATTCAGAAACAAGGCAGCTTGCTTTCAGGAGTCCAGATGGGTGTTGAGTGGTGACATTTAGGATGATCTTGTTTTTGCTTGAAAACAGAGCATCTTCACTGGGAAAGACCAGAAAATGGGAGATGAGAGTCTGCTTTTTTACTGTCACCTCCCCTAATGCCTCTGGGTCAGTGAAAGACGGAGCAACCTCATCTCATCTCAAAGGGATCTTGGTCTCAAAGAGGAACTCAGATACTCTTGGAAACAAGGAGTTTTCACCCAAGGAGAATATGATGAACTAAGTGGGAAGCCCCCCACTTACTGCCTTTCCGAAGATAAAGTGGGGGAAATTGAATGTAATAATGAATATAAAAATTCTTCTAACGTTTTAAAGAGTGATGCCTTGCAAACAAGTAAGAGTCAGAATCAGACAGGGTTGCCAGGACAAATTTCTCTCTCTTCATCTAAAACCTGTTCCCAAAAATGATCTATAAGGTTAAAACTAAAACAAGAAGAGTTAAAATAATATGCAAATATGAAGAGGAGACCAGATCATCATTTATATCCACTGGGTATTTAGACAACCTGCTTAAGTCATCATGGATTACTAGGTGCCATTCTAAGAATTCCCAGGGCACGGGGTTGAGGCTCCTAGAATAGAATGCTTGGTCTTGATGAAGGGGAAGGATTCGAAGCATTTGTGCTGCAAATATTCATGCATGGCTTTCTCTGCCGACTCCAGCATGAGAACAAGGCCAAGATGAGCAAGTAGAAGCCCCTGTCTTCTAGAATAGGAGAGGAAGGTACACACAGGCATCTATAGCTCCAAGCTGCACACAGTCAGTGTCAAGAGGGTGATATAAACAAAGTTGGGAGGCAGTCAGGAGGAAGGGAATCCAATCTTTTGTAGTAAAGGGGAATGTTCCATGAGTTACACTTTGGCTGCTGGAAGGGAGGTGGGATTTCAAAAAACCAAGGAGCGAGAGGATTCCAGGCAGAGGGCAGGCAGGAGTGAAGGCAAGCACACGGCCACATGGGGTGGGGGTGGGAGGGCTGTTGGGGAGCAAGGCCAGCCACTCTCAGTCTGCAGACCGGCTGGGGAAGTGGTCCTTGGAGACCCATCTGGTCCTGCCCACCACCCCCTCCTGTCTCTTTGTCGCTATTATTTTTGGCTTCCTGGTACCACATTCTTCAAGTTCCTTGGAATATGGCTCCCAGGCCTCTCTTTCTTCCCACTCACATTGTTGTCCAGTCTGGCCGGGGTGGCATTCTAACGTCTTGGAATTTCTCTGCAAGTCCTCCACTGGCCTCCTTCCCCGTGTCAATTCAAGGGACCCGCAGCTCCTCTCCTTTCTGGGCTGTACCCTGAGTCCCACTGCCTCTCAAGCCAGCCCCTTCTGGAAACCAAAACCCCATGGCGTGACCGTCTGGTCACAATCACCTGCTTCCTTGCTCCACCACCCCTGGATTTCTACACCACAGAGACCCTTACCTCTGGCCGTGGGCCCACCCCCTTTTGAGTCCCCCCTGTGTCATCTCTCACCCAGTCTGTGAGACTTCTGCTGGCCCAGGTAGAGCCACTCTCACCTCACGTGTCTCTTGATTCTCTCACCACCTCATTCTCTGTCCCACCCAGGCTGCTGAGTGGAGCAGAGAACCCTCCCTTTGGTCTTACTAGGTAGGTAGAATAGGAAAAAGGAGTCCAGAATGGCCTAGTTACGTCACCATAGGTGACGTTTGTAACTTCCTTGGTTTTGTCTCGTCACAACAAAAATTTGAAGTGATGGACGACAGACCAGCATTACAGCCCTCAGACGAACCAGTGTTACAGTTCAGTTTTACTTAGAAAGTAAAGGAAAATAGTTTCCCGTATAGCTCAGTGGGTAAAGAATCTGCCTGCAGTGCAGGAGACCCAGGTTCGATCCCTGGGTTGGGAAGATCCCCTGGAGAAGGAAATGGCAACCCACTCCAGTATTCTTGCCTGGAGAATCCCATGGACAGAGGAGACTGGCAGGCTATAGTCCATGGGGTCACAAAGAGTCGGACATGACTGGATGCCTAAACCACCACCACCAAAGGAAAATACATCCTCGAGACGTGAGGGCATGCCGACCCAAAAGACTCGAAGAGAAGAGAGGCCCCCGGCCCATTTTGGCTCCTCTTTTTATATGTTTTTTTCTCCTCCCCCTGGGCCTGCCCTATGTAAATTGGGCTAGCCAGGAGTGCTGTTTGTTCTACCTGAGGTCCTAACTCCAATACTGGGTCCTTCCTTTGTTCTATTTTTGCGGGCTTCTCCCTTCCTTGTCTTTTAGCTATCGCCCTTCTGGACTCCTGTTTCCTATTCTAACTACTAACAGCGTGATCAGGGCTCCTGCCCAGGGGGTGGAGTCCCAGCAGGCTGGCCTTTCATCAGGTTCCCTTTAGCTCTTCTTCCATCCACTGGGCAGGTCTTCCAAACTCCTTCTGTCTCCGCACTCTGTCTCGCACTTTCCCCTCACCCTCTCTCCTCACTATCCTGCTCGATCGATCCCTGAAAAAAACAAAATTAATCTGTTAGGCAACAACTCTCAGATTCCCCCACCTGGGAGGACCCCAGCCCCCATAAACCTATTCATTCCACATTTGTTTGTAGTACTCAGTCTTGACAGGTCAGGTATGTCCTGCTGAAAATAGGACCATCTCCCTGAGTACAACATTTTTACAAAGCCGTCTGATTGAGGTTACATTCTCTGTGAGGAGTCTCAGTTGAGGTCATTTGTTTCCCAGGACACTTGCCATAGGGAAGAGAGTTCTAGGCTAACACTCCCTTTCTAATCTCTCTCAGGCAAGACCAGACTAAATGCTTGAGACAGAGACTTCGTCTTGCAAGGAGGGGAGAAGCGAGAGGACACCGCACTTGGAATGAGAAGAGGAGGACTCTAGGTGTACTAGGTGGGCAAGGGTCAACATGTTACCCTCTGACTCAGTTATCTACTCTCTATAGTACAGATACAGAGACGGTTATCTATACTGTCCAAAGCAGAGCCTGAGGCAAGGATTTTGTGTCTATAGTCTCTGTGGAAGGTTGTCCCAGGGAACACAAGAGGGAGTGAGGAATTC